ATGGTTGGTTCGGTCCCGCAATGATGCAGGCTACGATGCGTCCAATCAATATACAATTGGGTGATGTGATGATCACCATCCAATATAGCTGGCCCTTTCATATCTTCAGAGACTCCTTTTACAGCGGCTATTCGACTTCGTAGCGCAATGATCCCGTCTTTCAATTGTATCTGTAGTGGTCGTAGGCGGCTATCATGGGCGACCCTCTTATCGTTACGGAGATCGACTATCTCTTGTGTGAAGGAGTCTTCCTGGATGACATGTACCAGGAGCTTTTCGGCCTTTCTTATATATTCGGCCTCCAGTGTGATGTATTTGTTTACATCTTTGCTTTTCACCTGACTGGGAGGCTGCGCGAGACGTCGCGGATTGCACTTCGATCTCCTCCAGTCGGGGTCTTCCTCTCTATTTCTTTTTGTCCTTTTATAAAAGGTCCTGTCGGTCGTTTTGCGGCAGAGTGTTATGAATTGAAGCACTCTGGCCGTAGCTCGCACTAAGCGTTCCCATTTCGAAAATTTCGTCGGATCGGGAATGGCCTCTTTATATAGCGGAGCTCTATATCTTTCTGTGATGGTGAGAGATCTTTCTTCACCAGTAGGTTCGGATGACGTGGGTCGTTCTGTTGGCCATGCTGACGGTTCTTTGTATAGAAATGATGGGCCACTGTACCACTCGTGGTTAGAGTCGAAATTGGGTGGTACGTCCCTCGTAGCGGTGTCAGCTATATTCAATTTACGGTGCCAGCGCCAGTCATCCACTTTAGTATGGTTATCTATGCTTTCCTCACTCGTGTGCAGCTCATTGGCCGCGTGGACGCGCTGATACGGGGTTTTAGTGTGCGCCCCGTGTAGCACCCATCCCAGTTCTGTGAGCGAGGCTATTGGCTGGTGCGGTGGACCTCTGCGTACTTGTGTGGCTATTAAGAGTCTCCAGTTGTCTTGTCCTATCAGGATCCTAGGGTTGCCTGAATCATATGTCAATTGATCCTTTAAGCCTTTCAAATGCTTACAATTTTCTGTCTGTTGCACGCACAGTCTGCGGCCCCAAGTTTAGGCTGGCGACCGTGCGTGCTCTGAATGGCACCCTTTTTCTATGGAGACTCTTCAGTGACACTTTGACTCTTTGGGAGTCCGGCGAATCGAGGGTAGTGTTCCCGATAGCTGTGATCTTGAATGGGTCCAACCGCCCTTTAGCTCCAATTTGATCGGCAATCTCTTGATCCATTAACGAGACTGTCGACCCATCATCCAGCAGAGCGTGTGTGTTTATTGCTCCCGCCGGTCCAATTACTCGAACTGGAATTATCTTCAAGTAAGCTTGATGCTTTGATACTGCGAATGAGTTTGCCACTGTCTCTTGAGGTTCTTTTAGTGGGCCCTCTGTCTTTTCCTTTCTATTATTATGAAGGAGTCGATTGTGTGTCGCGTTGCATCCTTTTATTCCACACTTCGTGGTTTTGCATCTGTGTGTCTGACTTCTATAACGCAGACACCGGAAACATAAATTCCTTTGCTTGGCGAGTTGCCATCTTTTATCAATATCTGCCTCTTTAAACTTGTTGCAGTCGGATCCGTAATGACCCTCTTTTTCGCACACACTGCATTTCGGAGACGGCTTAGTGGTAGCCGTGTGCGTCCTATGCACTGGACGATTATTTTGCGCTCCGCTTATGATCTCAGGAGGCGCAAATGCACTACAGTAGCGAGCTTGTTCGGTGATAAATTCACTGAAGGAACCGAGGTCTGGTCTTGAGTCATACTTTTCTGTATAAATTCTATACCACTGCGCGCGTATAGAGTTTGGCAGTTTGTCTGTGAGGTGTCGTAGCAGCTCTGCGTTAACGAGGTAATGGTCTCGCTTGAGTGCTCGAAGTGTGACGACGCTTCCCCTCACTTTGCTCGCGAATGTACAAATATCTCTGGGTGCCTCTGTACAGCGTGGCAATCCCCGTAATTTATCGGTTTCTGCTTGCGCGATTGAATCTGGACGCCCAAATTGTAGCTCCAGTTCTCGCATAATCTCATCTGGTTTAGCATGCCCGATGAGTTCCGAACTAACTGTTTCCAAGGCTCTTCCTTGTAGACTTCTTCGTAGTCTAGCAGTATTTTCTATGTCATTGAAGTAGCCTCGGGTTGTTTCATAAATGGCACGGAACGAAAGCCATTCAGTATGTGCTCCGCTAAAGCTCGGCAGTGTCATTATCGCTTTTGATGCTGCGAAAGTATTTGACGATGCACTCTCTGGTTTTGGTTTATCAGCGAGTGCGGCTATAGCGGACGTGAGCTCCGATATGAATGGTCGGAGCACCCTGTCTTCATTGCTGACAGGTGCCTGGTTAGGTCTTTTTATTATGGGATTCTTGGTTGCTTCTTCCGGTTGGGGATCCTGGTAGGCGGGCTCTGATACAGCAGGTAGGAGCCCCCTGTCTTCATCAACCTTGGAGTCCTGGCAAGCCTTCTGAGGTACGGGACTCTTCGGTATATTTTCAGCATTGGGATCCTGGTAGGTGAGCTCTGATACAGCAGGTAGGAGCTCCCTTTCTTCATCAACCTTCGAATCCTTGTTTGTGAGCTTCATCGGCGGCTCACTGAGGTCGACAACCTCCGGGGGTGGCTTTGTGATGTTTTTATTAAGTGGGGCCTCCCCACCGGTGGTTGCGCCTTGCGTTGGCTTTTGTTTGGCTACAGAATTTTTGAGCCAAGATCGGACATACTCACTTTTGGAGTGACCATCCTCATCATAGTCGTCCGATTCATCATCTTCTTCAGCCATTTGTAATGAGATCTGTGCGAGTTCCAATTTTATTCTCAGCACTTCCTCACGAGCCTTCAAAACCTTTTTACTGGGCCGAGTGGTCTTCTTTGACCTTGTACTTTTATCGGTGTGGCCCCTTGGTGGTTCTTCGGCGCGGGAATATACCCGGGCTGTTGGCGGTGATGCACAGCGAATGTCATCGTTGCCTTCTATTTGTTTCCTCTGCTTCGGTGTACCAGGTTTAACAACGGCTGGCACTGGCAGGTGTACCCCCCCATCGCGGGGGCAAGCTGGCGCCTCAGCGCCTTCTGTTGTGGATGGTGAGCGTGGTGGCATCTGGTGGCGGACGGTGTCGGTATTGTCCGACGGTCCATCATCCAGACCGACAGTCCACGCCATGGTTCCCCTTCCTTGCGAACGAGTGATCGGCATCTTGATTCTGAAATTTCAGCAACTTTAAAACGGTAGTGATTATTTACCCGGTTCCGAAATACTAACGGATTGACGAATCCCGTTCGAATGACCAGCGTATGTGGTCCGGTGTATACGGATGATTCGGCTCAAAGGACCATAAAATGGTTCAGCCGGCAGTACAGGTGGAAGAATCCGGCTCGAAGGACCATAAAATGTGCCGGACGGGCGAAACTCTCCGGAGTAAATGTTGTCGGAGATACCCCGCGAGTCGCTCACGTCCTACACCTGTAGGTTCCAGATTCCTCCAACTGCTGTCTTTCACTGCCGTCTTTCACTGCCGTCTCTTTGGTTGCTGCGGATAAACTGTGGACTGAGGTTCAAAATTAAAATGCACGATTTGTAAATTAAAATAGCAAGGGAGTGGCCAGCGGATCGACTAATTAATTTGTCGCGAGATTTTACACTGTTATTTATTTATCACTATTTTTCAACTATGATTGTTCACTATATATTTTAAAACACAGATTTAATTAAACACACAGTAATATTAAAATTTCTATTGGTTTTCTAAAATTTCTATTCGTATTTTTAAAATATTTGTTGGGAATATCAAATTTCTATTGGCAGTAACAAGTTTCTATTGGTGTTCTCTACAATTTCTATTGGTAATTTTAAATATCTATTGAAAGTAACAAATTTCTATTGGTAGTATCCAAAATTTCTATTGGTAGCAGCTGGTTTTCTAACACTACTGACTAGCAGCTATTAATCAACTAAAATTAGTTGAATTTAAACACTTTTGTAACTGCGAATATCAGTTACCACTTTTTCCGTCTAGCTAACACTTTTCACGAAATGTAACGGCGAAGTTTCCGTTACCACTTTTTTCAGCTAGCCAACACTTTTTCACTATATGTAACTGCGAATATCAGTTACCACTATTTTTGGCTAGCTGACACTATTTTTCTATGTGCAACTGAGAATTTTCAGTTGCCACTTTTTTCGACTATGTGTAACTGCGATTTTTCAGTTACGACCTTTTTCGGCTAGCTAAACTTTTCTATTTCACTTTAACTTTTCACTGTGTTCTGCTACTAGTCACTTCAGCTACTACCGGATACTGCTGCTTGTTACTGGTAGTTCTTCCTACTACAATGTTACTGTGATTTGCCCCATAAGGTAGACTTCGGCTATACTCTATAGAGAGCCGCTTGCCAATTTCCGGTTTTGCCTTTTTATTATCAAACATTTTCATTATGTATTTTGCACAAATCGCAATTTTTCTATATAATGCTAATTTTTACATTAACACGCTATACACTACAAAATAGGCATTTTTGTCCTTTATCACTATGTGATAAGGGTTACTTGATATATTTACATTCAAAAAAGTTATTAATCAAAATGTACCTATTTTACATAACAAAAGTGCACATTAAATCTTTAATTTTACTATATTTCTTAAATGCGTTTATTTACATAAATTATCTATTTACTTATTTCAATCTATATATCATATGCTAACTAAATATCGTATTTACAATTCTTTCAGAACATAAAAATATTCTCATTAATTTTTTGCTTAAAACTATTACGCAGTTAATTTAAATTTCCAGAAAGTTCTATAGCGCGGCGCGCTGTGATTGGTCGATATTTTCTTAAACAAATTAAAGTTGTTTATATTAACTATTGTCAAATCGACCTTCTATTCAAACATATTGAGAGTTGTAAATACATGGTAAAACTATATTTAATACATTATTTAGTCAATTTTTCCGTATTTCCATTTTTTTAAACAAATAAATATTCCTTAATCACTTTCTCGTTTAAAGTCATTTTTGCCGTTGTGAACAGTCATTTTGGCCGTCTCGAACAGTATCATCCAAAAACTTTAAATAAGACGTATTTTCGTGGTCATCTGATTCCCTTAAGCATTTATCATTAGGTGTCCGAGAAAAATAGTCCGCTACCACATTTTTATCGCTAGAGACGTATTGAATCACATAATTATATGCTGACAAAAATAGTGCGTACCTTTGGAGGCGCGATGCTGCCATTACCGAGACTCCATTTTTCTTACCAAATATGGCTAATAAGGGCCGATGATCTGTTTTCAGCACAAAAGGTTCTTTTCGACCAAATAAATATTGGTGGAAATATTTAACGCCAAATATTATAGCCGTAGCCTCTTTATGTATTTGGCTATAATTACTCTCACTGGCTGTAAGAGACCTGGAAGCGAAAGCAAGTGGGCGCTCGTTACCTTCTGGGCCCTGCGCCAGCACCGCACCAAGACCGGCCGGACTCGCGTCCACACTGAGCACAAGTCGCGCACTCGGGTCGAAATGCGTCAACACTCGGTCTGATGATAGTTCACGCTTAACTTGTATAAACGCCTTCTCATGACGCTCACTCCAAGTCCACGCTGCATCATTACGGAGTAGTTCATGGAATGGATGTAATATGGCTGATGCCCTAGGTATGAACTTACGATAGTAATTTATAATGCCTAGAAACCGTTTTACTTCTAAAATATTTTGTGGTCGTGGAATGCTTAGAATTGACTCAATCTTCTTTGGACACGTCTTAAGGCCCTGTCTGTTTATGACGTAACCTAAGTACGTAACACTGCGTTTAAAAAAATGACACTTTTCTTTTTGTAATTTTAAACCTGCATCTTTAAGCCTACCTAAGACTTCACGTAACCTGCTCAAATGTAATTGCTTGTTAGGGGCCGTGATACAAACGTCATCTAGCCAACAACTAACACCTTCAATACCTGCTAACAGGGTTTCCAATGTCCTTTGAAAAATAGCGGGCGCATTAGCCAAACCATATACAAGCCGGGTGTATTTGTATAAGCCACGGGTTGTATTAATGGTGGTAAGTTCCTGTGACTCCTCGCATAATATAAACTGATTGTAAGCGTTGCTCAAATCAATTTTCGTATATCTCTCGCCACCCCCTATTTTCGCGAAGACTTCCTCTATGCGCGGCATAGGATATTTATCGATTAGTAGGTCTTTGTTTAATGTTAATGAGTAATCACCTGCGATCTTTATTTTACCGTTTTCTTTTAATACAGGTACGATAGGGGTCTCATATTTAGAGTAATTTACCGGAATCAGAATGCCCGCACGTGTTAATCGGTCAATTTCTTCATTTACTTTGTCTTTCAGAGCAAAAGGCACAGTTCGTGGCTTAAAAAATTTTGGTACCGCGTTATCTTTAAGGTGCAAGGTGATTTTAAATTTATTAAATGCCCCAAGTTCTTTACTCCACAAGTCCGCGTACGTATTTAATAAATTTTGAACTTCACTTTCATAGCTGTCCACTAAAATGTTATTATTATTAACTGATGTCAACTTAATTTTAAATTGAGACATAAAATCACGCCCTAAAAGTGGTGGCCCACCATTTTTTATAACAAAGAAATTTATTTGCTTCATGAAACCGTTATATTTTACCTTTGTACAGAAATAACCTAAAGGCGTAATTTTATGGCCGTTATAAACACATATTCTGATATTACATTTATAATTCAATGTTACGGTAGGAAAGTAATGCAAAAAAAATTGTTCGGACATAACTGAAATGGCCGATCCCGAGTCCACTTCCATACGGAAGTTTTTATTGCTAATATTCACCACCACAGTAATAGGAGCCAAAATCTCATACCTCATATTATGCAAACGGCACTCCATGCAGTCCCCACAGTCTCCATCTGATTCAGTTTCCTCCGTAACGGTATTGATGTTGTTTACGCGAACTTTACACATTTTTTTTAAATGACCTTTAATACCACACTTTTGACACCGATAGGTCCTATAACGGCACTTTTCTGCACTATGTGTTTTTAAACCACATACACCGCAACGGTTTGTAACCTCTTCTTTACACCCGTTACGAGATACACTCGCTCTGCCACTGCCACTGCTTCCACTGTCATCGGCAGCACCTACATGCATGCCCCCACTGCTTCTCCAACGGTTCCCGCCGCTCCGACGACTAGATTCGCCAGCTGAGTAATATACCTGCTCCTCCTTGATGTTAATACCTGTTTCGCTGCTTACTAGAGCCTTGGCCTCTCTCGTATAAGCTGCCTGTTCAGCTATTTCTAAAGCCTTTGCAAAAGATAGACTTGAAATATCTTGCTCGAATAGTCTATCCCGCTCGGGGCCCGTCCCCAAGCCTAGGACGAAACGATCCAACAGAACCGTTTCTAAGGCGGTACCAAAGTTGCAATAACTTGCAAGGCCTCGTAGTCGCGCCGCCCATTCTCCTAATGGCTCGCCTGGGTTTCTTGTCGCTCCGTAGAATCTTGCTTTGTCTACGAAAGAACTGTGCTTTGGCTCAAAGTGCTTATCGAGTAATTCGACCAGTTCTCCGTAACTTAGCGTAGCTATCTCGCGTGGGTACGCAAGGTTACGTACGAGTCGATAGGTTTCATCCGAGAAGTTTGCTATAAGTATTGCACTTTTATTATCTCCACTGATGTTATTGACTTTGAAAAATTGCGTCAATTTTCCTTTAAAAATCGACCACTCACTATTTTTATAGTCAAAGTTCGGTACATTTCCGATGTAAGCCATTTTTTTTTTTTGCGGGTACTTGTACACACCTCATCGCCAAATGTAGTGTATGCGATTTAAATGAAACAACCGTACTGCCAGAGAGCTGATTTATTACTGGCTCGTTCTTTCGAAGTACCAGTGCGCATATACATCAGTTTGAATGCGGGGTGAGGCAAGAGGGGTTGTCTAAAGAAGGGTATGTTAGTATGTAATGTTCTGTTGACGGTCATATGATTTATAATATGTAGTATGCCGTAATAAATTATGCCGATGACATGGTGTTGCTGAGTCCATCGATCAGTACGTTGCGTAGACTGTTAACTGTATGTGAAACATTACGCTGCTGAACATGGACTCCTCTATGACACCAAGAAAAGTGAGTTACTGGTGTTTCGTGTTAATAGTAAGAAGCCCTTGATTGTGCCGCCATTAAAGCTCCTTGGTATGTTATTAAATAGAGTTTGTCAGTTTAAATATTTAGGACCACGCTCTTACAGAATACCAGCGTAAAACAGCAGCTCAACACTGCTGTGTTTCGTATGGTGAGTGTAGAGAACCGAAGACCCTTTTAACTGCAAATGAGCCATTCCATCTTAGTCGTCACGGGCATGAAGCAAATACAAAGAGGAAACGTTGTAATTAAATTTCACTATGTAACAACGTGTGAAAATTTGCGGGGTGAGGGGATGCAAAGCCTCGCCCACTACACTATCTACATCTACCGATAAATAGTAAAACTACTCGAATCTTTCTATATCGATGTTGCAATGTAGCTTAGCTACCTTGACGGTAGATGGCGGCATGTTCACAAAATGTTATAAACTATGAAAATAATATTATGTCGATTAAAATTTCTTTATGTCTGAATGCAAAACCAATTTCAGCACCTTCGTATGATTATTTTATCATTACTGAGCTCTACGTACCTTTATATTTGTAGTTCACAGGACACAAAGTGTCGCCATCTAGTGTGGAATATATTTAATTATATTTGAAAGCCGACACAAAGAGATTTTTCTAGAACTATTTTAATAAATTAGGTGTAAAATTACTTACAAATAAAATGTGATGCCATCCATAGCATCGGAGCGTCTATCTCATGAAGCAAACACATTCAGACACAGAAATTTTAATCGCCAAAATAATATTTTTATAGTTTTCATAATAATTTTGGGAACAGGCCGCCATCTATCGTCAAGTAAACCTCTTAAAAAAATAACAAAAAGACAGGGCCGCAATTAGAATTCAATTATTTACCCAGTAACCCAACATTCAATATTAAAATGAAGGAAATTGTACTTGGCTGATTTTTACGAAATGTTTAAGTTATATTTAAGTGACATTCTATATGCAAAGAATCACTTAAATACAATTTAAATATGTTTATCATTTCGTGAAAGTCAACCTTCAAGATATATTTATTTTATCCATAAAATAAAATCTCTTTGAAACTAAATATTCTAAGTTCAATATTAAGTAGGATATTTAATTTGGAACTAAATGGAATATATTTAATTATATTTGAAAGCCGACGCAAAGAGATTTTTCTAGAACTATTTTAATAAATTAGGTGTAAAAATATTTACAAATGAAATGTGATGCCATCCATAACATCAGAGCGTCTATCTGAGTAGTTTTTATACAATAAAACACAACACTTCAACCTTTTCTTCTTAATACGACGAAAATACACCGATTTGCGATTTTTTCAACACATAAGCGCACAGGACGAATGCTGACAGTATACTAACTAAAGCCACGCCCACTATGATGACGTCAGGACCTACTTAGAATCACAGTGCACAGTTGCTTATGCCGTCTCCCCTTTGTATTAGCTTCATGGTCACGGGTGACTACGCATTTAAATTTGTAACTGAGGGTAGATGTAGATGTCTATGGATCACAGTAACCACTTACCATCAGGTGGTCTGTGTGCTTGCTTTTCATCCTTATACTATATACAAAAATCAAAGTTTTGATGTTAATGCGCTATAAATAGAACAGCCCCGAAATAACAGACGGTGCGTTTCCACGGCTAAATTGGTGACCTCGACGTCATGTGAACACGCTTTTGCCATCGTCCTCAAGTACCCCATCCATTTTCGCTCCCTAGCAGTTATTGTCTGTAGTCTTCACATTCTGCAAGCCATCTAGATTATGGTTGCTGTGGCCCATATACATCTACATCTACCTTCGTTTGCGAATCAAAATGCAGATGCGTTGTCAGCCGTGAGGACTAAGACGGAATGCCTCTTTTCCAGTAAAAAGGGTCTACGGTTCTTTACACTCAGCATACGAAACAAAGCAGCATTAAGCTGCTATTTTGCGCTGGTATTCTGTGAGAGCGTGGTCCTTCCCTGGTCCAGCCGACCCATACGTGCTACAACTATACTATTAATATAGCTTCAGCATGGCTCTACCGGACGGACGACGGATTCAACTCGGTTGGGCAGCATTCGGGAAATTACGGCACATCTTCTCGTCAGGTATACCTCAAAACTTAAAAACGAGACTGTATAACCAGTATGTGTTACCAGTGTTGACCTATGAAACTGAGACGTGGTCCTTCACTGCTGGCCGGATGAGGAAGCTCAAGGTCGCTCAGCGAGCTATGGAGAGGGCTATACTCGGAGTTTCTCTGCGTGATAAACTTAGAAATGAGGATATCCGCAGTAGAATCAAAGTAACCGACATAGCCCAACGGATTAGTAAGCTGAAGTGGCAATGGACCGGCCATATAGCTCGAAGAACCGACAACCGATGGTGAAAAAAGGTTCTCGAGTGGCAGCCTCGTACCGGCAGGCGAAGTGTAGGGCATCCCCTCACTAGATGGAGTCACGACCTGGTAAGATATGCAGGAAGTCGATGGATGCAGGTGGCTGAGGACCGTGCTTTGTGGCATTCCTTGGGGGAGGTCTATGTTCAGCAGTGGACTTGTGAAGGGCTGTAATGATGATGATGATGATGATGGCTCTACCACGTATATATGCATGCATCTGTTAGAATTACTAAATTACATAGGTGTGACAATGAATCTAATAAAGTAAGTTTCTATTTGATTATTATCAAAAAGTTATTTCGCATTGTTATATTATGACATCAACACCCATTGTTGTGAACATTTAATTTGTTACTCTATTATTCTAGCTTTCTGTTCAGCTACAGAGAAACAAAAACCGTTTCTTGTTATTGTAACAATGTCATAGAAAAGCAACAGATTAAAAAAATATTTCAATGTTTTTTCACAGTACATTTTCATTTTATCCGATGAGGATATTATAGTTTCACTGTCCCATTTGCCATCAGTTGCTATCGTTTCTAAATATTTAACTTGGCGGTCAATTATCGCCAATATTTCTTCTGACGATGCCTAATTAGAGGCGAAACACGTGTCGTATTATCTACGGTGATGTGTCTTTCCTACTGTAGTGGCACTGGGAGTAGTAGTATGAGGATTAGTGGTGATGGGAATAGTCACGATGGGGGAAGGCGGGAAGTGTTCTTGAAACTAGGTAAGTCATATTTATTTATGCGAATCTCAGCTAATTTATTTTTAGTATCTTTGATTTTACTGTCATACAACAATGCTTTTTATCAAAACGGAATACTTGTGGAATCTTTTAAGGTCTAGGTCTGCCCATTTGTCGTATCATTTCGAGATATCTGTCTATCACGACATTTTTTCCCAAAAGCCTTTCACTTAAATAATTGAATCAAATGTCGTTACCTAAATACAGACATGGGGTTAAAAATTTGAATTTTTGGGTATTAGTTTTCGGAATTATTGAGAATCATTTTTAAATTCTTTAAGCATTTTTGTAAATGAAGCAAAAAGTCATTATAAGTATAAGGGTTGCTTCCTTTATCCATTATTACCTATAAAGCCTACTGTTAAACATAGGCCTAACCCATAGATTTCCACATAAGTGGGCATGTGCCATAGTTGTCACATTTGCCAGGCATTTTGGCATCTGCAGTTTTTTATCATTATGAGTTGATTTCAGGATTATGCCACTGCCCATCTCCTGTTTCGGATTCCCTCTGTCGCTTAATACCACACTGACGGGACAATATGGGATAGTGGATGATTTTACACCGCTAATTACGCTAGTTACTTTTTTAATTCATAGCGCATGGGTGACATACTGGCACATAGTCTGATGTTAGTAGATTATGTGGTCCATATACATCTATCCTCAATTAAGAATCAAAATGTAGATGTGTTGCCACCCCTGAAAACTAAGTTTCCAGTAAAATTGGTCTCCAGTTCTGTACACTCACAATAGAAAGCTGCTACTTTACACCGATGTTCTGAGAAAGTGTCCTCCTTCACTGGTCGAGCAGACCCATTCGTACTACAACCGTAATATAGCTGCAGCATGACTCTACCAAGTACTCGTATAAAAGTTGCTTATAAGAATTTATTGCAATATTTTTAAATAACTGAAATCGCTAGTATATTATAAACTTGCCTTTGGTGGTCACGTAAGGGAATCCATGACCCCATAATTGGGTCACGGATTTCCGATTTGGGTTTCGTATGAAGCGACTACGTGAAATGGCAAAACAGAACTCATGGCTTCCGATATATGGCGGTAAAACTTTTCCTTTTACACCAGGTTTAAAATATTTAGACCGGATTGGGGTCTGGTACAGCTATCGTCAATTATTTGTCTGCCAAGCGTGACTATTATGGTCAATTTCCCTATAACGTGAAAGTTATATGTGTAGCAGCAGACTTTTGATCTGATTAAGAAGCAGAAAAGAACATAATAACATATATACATAAAGTTACAGCCTATGTAAGTGTCACTGCTGGGCACAAGCCTCCTTCCATTTCTGGGAGGGATTTAGGGCAAGGAAATGTCCGCTGTACTGCCCCCATACGTGTTGTCGGACTTCACGTGTCTTAGAATTTTATTTTTCAGACATACAGGTTTCCTCACGTTGTTTTCCTTCACCGCCGACCACGTGGTAAATCAGCACTTAAAATTGCAAGTAACAGTTTTGTTGGTGCC